GGCCAGGACGCGTCCTGGGAAAATGGCACGTATGGTCACCCTAGTGTGTTCACAGAACCTGTGTGTGTCTAGTTTACTGTTTTTTTCAACTGCTTACACACAAAATCTTTACTTGTCACACAATTTCTGAAACCTGACACTCAAACACCAGAACCACACACCAAATCTGCAAAACCACACTAATTCTCAAAAATACACTAATTCTCAGCCTTTGACTCAGTTTTCCTAAAACACTTTTTGCAAAACACAACACACAATTCTCTATGTAACACACAAAAATCTAATAGGAATTAATATTATGGCATTTTTTAAACACAACCAATCAAAATGCCACACTAATTCATCAGTGCCTCACACTAACTCCTTTGACTCAGTTTTCCTAAAACACTTTTTGCAAAACACAACACACAATTCTCTATGTAACACACAAAAATCTAATAGGAATTAATATTATGGCAAAGGTGTTTGAAATTTGCTTTTTTAAATATGTTTGTGATATTTTGAATGCAGTGCTTCGTTTTGCAAGAGATGTGAGGCATTTTGCATTCTGTGTGTGCAATTCTTGGATTTGTGTGTAAAGTTTTGAAAATGTGTGTAAGCAGATGAAAAAACTGTAAGACTCTGAACAAACACTGAGGGATATGGACCAGAACTGTCAACAACTTGATATGTATTTTCAATAACATGGTTAACAAGTCAAATACCTCAGCCAAATATGCTCTTTCTTTTCTTGAATTGCAAATGCTCTGATAAATGAAACCCCAGAAACCTAATCACAAGTGTATGTGTTAAAAATCCCTGAAAAAATGGTGATAAAAATGGTAATAATAAAAGGAGCAGTAAACAAACAAATAATAAAATTGTTTGTTGTTGTTACATATTCGATGAATTACTACAGATAAGCAGCTACACTTTTGAATGACTGATTTAAAAAATGATCAAGCACTGCCATCTAGCGGTTAGTAAAGCCCCTCTCTAAACGAAGAATAAGGTTGCAAGTTCACATCACGCCAGAGAGGGCAGCCTTTTCCCAACAGTAAACAACTGCGAAATTAATCATCTTAGCATCTGAATAACAGACCTCCAAAAATAAGTCAAGTACTTTAAAATCCCCCGCAGTCACTAATTGTATCTCTTAAAACTCATCTTTGTTCATCAAAATTACATGTTTAAACGCTTTCCCCATGCAAATAACGTTTTTATGCCATGAATTTAACTACAACCTTACCTCACTTAGCATTGACTGATTTAAAAAATGATCAAGCACTGCCATCTAGCGGTTAGTAAAGCCCCTCTCTAAACGAAGAATAAGGTTGCAAGTTCACATCACGCCAGAGAGGGCAGCCTTTTCCCAACATTAAACAACTGCAAAATGAATCATCTTAGCATCTGAATAACAGACCTCCAAAAATAAATCAAGTACTTTAAAATCCCCCGCAGTCACTAATTGTATCTCTTAAAACTCATCTTTGTTCATCAAAATTACATGTTTAAACGCTTTCCCCATGCAAATAACGTTTTTATGCCATGAATTTAACTACAACCTTACCTCACTTAGCATACCTGGAGCCATGAATATGTTAACTATTCCCCGCCACCACTCAATCACACCAGCTCGAACTTTCTCCACTTTTCCACTCATTTAACTTAAGTACTAACGGTAAACACTACACAACTGCAAATGGCAATACTAGATAAACAGTTATCTGAGAGTGAACCCGTGAGTAAATATATTCTGAATGGATTAATTTACAGCCAAGAAAGTGCGCAAAGAACGCTCCCCTTAGCTATATGAATAAAAAGCTGTCACTTCTGAATCTCTAAGCTGCCCGATTAATCTCTTATTCACATCATACTACTTACATCTTATTTGCACCTTGTTTGTTATAACGAGAGATATTCGCGACCGTGCAGAATTCAGCCTTAAACAAATCTCTGGCGTTTTCAGCAGTGAGTGGATTCTGACTTACCTAAACATCTCTGATTGGCCGTTGCGTTCATAAAATCAACAGGTATGTCTGTGATTGGCTACAATGCACAACGCTGCAAAAACACGTTGTAAGCAGAAACGTATGACCGGATATGAAAAGCCCCGCCCAGCAGGTTGATGGGATTGGTTAACAATAGGAAACGATCGACGTTTTCAAGATGCCTTTTTGAAATTATCTTTGGTACACCGCAATTTTAAGGAGAAAATCCTCAGCAGTGGTGTTGCCTGATGAATTTGCAAATGGTTTTCTTTAAGCATATTAAAACACCAGACAGATATTGTAAACAACTTAAAAACTTGATTTTCACCACAGGAGGTCTTTAAATATCGAAACATGTATATGTCCAGTAACCAAATACAATTGAAACTGTACACAAATGAAATCTATATTTCCAATTATATACATGTATAATTACTAATATTCATAGCTATATTTTTACTACATTCACCAGATGTTGAACGTGCATCACAGGGGCGTAGGCAGCCGCCCACTCTGATGAAAGGATCAGATTCCGTCCGTTTTTACTTTCACTTTCTAGTGAATCGACTGAGATTAAGAGGTTCACTGCATAACTCTTGCACAAAGTTTGCACGTTGCTTGTGTGACAACCATACTCCAGTCTTAGTGTCACATGATTCTTCAGAAAATATTCTAATATGCTTATTTGGTGCTCAAGAAACCTTTATTATTAATAATTTTTTTAAACAGTAGTGCTGCTTAATATTTTTGTAAAAAAAAAAAAAAAATTGTGATACATTTGTAGGATTCATTGATGAATATAAAGAACAACTTTTATTTGAAATAGAATTATTTCACAACATTATAAATGTCTTGAATGTCACTTGTGATCAATGTAATGCATCCTTGCTGAATAAAAGTATTCAATTCTTCCAAAACAAATCTTACTGGCCAGTAACTGAACAGTAGTGTAAGAGAACATTAACATTATCAAAAAAAATATGACAGTTTTGGAGACATAAAGACATAAAAGACATCTGAACAATTACTTGCCCCTCACCTTGCCAGCTATCATTGCAGACACAGAGCTTTTCTCCGGTGAGGTCACAGTATCCGTGGTCAGGACTGCCACAGTCATCCCAACAGTAGGGAATATCACAGGCCTCACCTTTCCAGTATCGCTCACACTCGCAGTAAACACTGCTGGAGATGGAGTTACCCGTTGTACACCTTCCATGACCTGAACAGTTATTAGGACAGGAGTTGATCCTGAAAAACACAGCAGGGGGAGAGTGATCAGGAATATATATTGAATATATAAACAATTGAAAGTGGGAGGGAAATCGCATTGTGAAATAAATGCTTTCTCTAGTTCATGTTGGCCACAATTATTGGCACCCAATTATTGCAACGTCCTTTTCCCAAGATAACAGCTCTGAGTTTTCTCCTATAATGCCTGAAGAGTTTGGAGAACACCTGATAAGAAATCAGAGACCATTCCTTCATACAGAATCTCTCCAGATCCTTCAGATTCACAGCTCCATGTTAGTGCTTCTTCTCTTCAGCTCACCCCACTCATTTTCTATAGGGTTCAGGTCAGAGGACTGGGACCGTGGCAGAAGCTTCATTTTGTGCTCAGTGACCCATTTTTGTGTTGATTTTGATGTTTGTTTTGGATTATTGTCCTGATGGAAGATCCAACCACGGCCCATTATAAGATTTCTTACAGAGGCATTTGGGTTTCGATTTTTTATCTGTTGATATTTGATAGAATCCATGATGCCATGCATCTGAACAAGATGGCCAGGACCTCTGGCAGAAAAACATTAAAGATCCAGCAGTATATTTAACCGTGGACATGGGGTAGAAGTGTAACAATGCGTATCCAGATGTGGTCACCACCTCAGGAATAGTTTCATTTCCTTTAGTCTCTGGGACAACCAGGCCACTGGACAAGCAAGAGCATGACACACAAATGAGACAGGAAAGACTTCCTTCCTTTGTGTTCACATATTCCACACAGCTTGAGGACAGCTGTTGCTAAGCAAACAGCATCAGGAGCAGGATAAATCTCTACTGCATGCTCTTGACTGTCCAATATTCTACTAATAAGGAAGAGGATAAGCTCACATTCAGTGCTTCAGCACAACAAAGTGGACAACCACAGAGATGCAATGGACCAGACACTGCACACCAACACAAACACACACACTAAAGAACACAGCAGGTCATCTGAAAACAAGGTCTATCCCATTAGAAAGGCATAAGAGATAACATTTGAGAGGAAGAAGAAAAGAAAAAGAAAAAGAAACAGAAACAGAGAAAGGATAAGAGAAAATTGAGTGAAGCAAACAGACTGCTTTCATTTTTAATGTGGTACTTAACTTAGGTAGTTAGAAAGCATAGGGAGACTGACTTTATTACGTCATTCGCAGTGCTTCATAGAAGTGGATGGTCACTAAAGAGTTCTTTTGGGGCGATTTGCACATTCCATTTTTTGTAATCGCTGGAGGGTTTTTTGCAGAATCAAGTGTAATTTAGTTTGTCACCAGCAATTCCAAAAAAATCAGCAGTAAATTTTTGAGATATGCACATTTCTCCTGCTATATTCCCTGCCATTTATTACTTTACATTCTAGTCATTTTAATTAAAGCATTCATCATTCATTTCCTTAATGATTGCAGATGAGGCTAAACAACGAACTGGGAAATAAACAAAATTTAGTGGGTGAACAGAGGTTAACACTCTCGCTATGCTTTCAATTAAAACATTCTTGTATTGCTAAGGGAAAAAAAGTCACAAGTTCACACAAATGAAAGATTAGCAAACATTTTTTTAAGCAAACCTCTGGGTGACGTAGTCTGATTTGATTATTAGATTATATGCACTGTCTTAGGCCAACAAAATGCATTTATGTTTGACATGAATTGACGTTTGTATCCGCTGTGTCAGTTTGTGTGTATTAATGATTCCAGTATCACTTACCTAAACACAGCTACCAAAGGTGCGTAAATCGAGTCTCCATCAAAGACATACATGTGATCCCAACTGCACTCTGTGGCAAAATGGATGAACCTCAACCTGAGCACAGCATTTGGGCTAAAATAAAAACCAGAAAATATGTTATTTTTTTATCATTAATAATAAGACAAATGTATTTGAACCTAAACATTTGTCACATAAACGTGTGTCACATAAATAAATAAAAATTTAGCTCCAACCTTTTTTTTTATTATTTGAATTCTAAATTCTATTTTGTAAGTTGCTTTGAACAAAAACATTTGGTAATTAATAAATATAAATAACAAAGACAGAGAGATTAGCTTGACATAGTGGTACTCACTATCCTTCAATCAGCCAAGTGCATTTAGTCTTGTACTTGTAGTTAACTGGTCCATCAGTGAGCGATCCTGATGACTCTGTCAACCTGACAAAGAAAAATACACGGATCAGTTGACATATCAAAAGGGCCTTGATGACACCAATGTTAGAGAGAATATGGTACAGTATATATGTGAATTCAGACAGTTGTGCACATGTGCATGCATACATATATTTTATTCCCTACATATTAAAAAAATAATAAAACTATAAAAGAATAATAACATAAAAATTGTAAAGTCTTCAAAATATGCAATTATAGAATATGCAAAATCAAACTATAAAATCAGACTGTTATACAAACATTTGAAAAAAAGGTCACTAAATGCTTAAAAATGCTTTGGAAACTCCTGTTTCCAAAAAGAAAAGGACATTTTAAAGGTGCTGTATGTAGGATTGACACCGAGTGGTTGAACTAGGTATTGCAGTCCAAATTCAATATATTGGAGAGGGTTGCCAGATTGACGACACCAACAGGAACGAGCGCACTTGACGATGAATGAAATACGTTAACTGGCAGTGGGCGGGTTTCACGAACCAAAACAGAGACCGACATTCCGGCCCGGAACGCACATTTTCAAAGGAGAAAAACTGACTGTAGCATTGTTTTTCAGATAAACAAGTATGTTAACTTAGCATGTTTCTTAAATATCTGCAAACATATTATGGTATGTTTATGCTTTAGTACAGTCAAAAACTTACATACAGCACCTTTAAGTCTTGATACTTTAAGGTCCAATGGAAAACAGAAAAACAAATGTATTTCTTAGCATTTTAGTTGATTAATCAAATTCAGTATAAACTCTGTATCATATGTGCATGAACTAGGGTAAGTGTACCCATTAAGCCCATGTACTCTTTAAGCCCACTTTCAACTTTGACATCAGATTAAAAAAGAGAATTTTATGTTTTTAAATGTTTTATGTTTATTTTATGTTCATCATTATTTTAAACAATCCAGTAATTTGTTAATTCCCAGTCATTTTTATTGCATACCAATCGCATGTGGTAATTCTGAGTTAGCCCCACCCATGTGCATGCTCATTTCACACAAAGACACCCCAAAACTTTGGTGTTTCAGGACCCTTCAGAAATTTCACACAAAGACACCCCAAAACTTTGATGTTTCAGGACCCTTCAGAAATCCACACATTTCTGCAGTGTTCAGCCAGTTCTTTGGTATGTACACTAATATTGTGTGTCAAATAAGAGATAGATGTATTCTTTTTTGTGTATGAACAAATAGTACTTTATCATTTTATATAGTTGTCTTTAAATGTAAAGATGAGTTTTCAGCAAGAAAATGACAAAAAAGAGAAAAAAAAACTACAGCAACTGTCCAAAAGTCATAGGGACATGTCGCCTTTACCATAAGGGCACAGTAAAAAATAAAAAAATAAATTGTTTTTGTGTTTTGTTTGCTAGTAGCAAAACTGTTCGGAGTGGACAGAAAGTCTTTGAGGGAGAGAACATTCAGGTTGAATGTTATTGTTACAGGTGATAAGCGCTAGCAAACATTAGTAAAATAATTGTTTTAAATACTTCACTCTCACTGCATAAATATATTGATGTTTTACTTCTTTAAAATCAATAAATGTTAATATTTTTGTGAATCAATCATGATGTGGGCTTATTTGGAACAAATATATTCTAAAATGTACATCAACTAATTAATACATTTTCAAATGAGAGATAAATCTCGCATTTTAACAAATGATTTTTCTTATACACAATGTCAATATCTATTAAAAAAAACACCTAAACGTAGATTTTGGTGGGCTTAATGGGTACATTTACCCAGCACAATAATACAGGAATAAAAATTCAAGCATTGATGAAGTGTGTGATATTAGGACTTGAGAAAACATTGGCAGTAATTATGACATGACATTTGACATCTTGACTACACAGCCTGCCCAGTAAAATCCTCTACAGTGTCCAATGTCACCATCATGAAACGCCATCCACGTGCGCCAACAAATTGGCCATGTGACACTGGCACAACCACCTGCTCCTGATTCATCCTCTTTCCCCTCATTTTCCATCCCTCCTCCTCCAGCACAGAAACGAGGGTCATAATCCCAACGGATTGAAGCAAAATATACTCGTTTGTCTGACAGTGGAGGAGGGCCAAGACCAGAATGTTACAGAGCCAGTCACAGCAACTGCACATCAATCAAGAGATCAGCTTATCCACCAAAAACCATGTTTATCACACAAACAGCGCAAGAGGTGAAGATCACCAGCAGCACCAGCCACAATGAGTCAGAGCATAACGTAATGAACCGGCACAGCAAATCACTCAATACTAAATGCAGTGGACACAGTGTTTTCTTCAGTGATGACCACAAAATGAAATACAAACATTATGACTTCTGTTTTGAGAATTCTACAGTGAATCACCCATATCCCTTGTTTTGCAGTACAGTGGCTTTTTCATAACCACCACCCTTGAAACACTGAAACTTTAGGTGGGGGGGGGGAACGTTTAGGAAAATATGATTTTTTTTTTTTTTAGTTTTTTTTTTTTTTTGACATTTTATGAAACAAGCTACACTCTCAACCTCAATATAGACAAAAAATGACTGCCCATTCAAAAATAAAGATGTGTCGTAATACATAGCCTATTTTATGATGCAGAGTCCATTTAACCATAGCTTGATTACTGTTCATATACTATAAAAATGAAAAATATGATTCATTTTAATGTATTTTAATACTGAGGTTTCACAAACTTGAATAACAAATTTTCACTGTATATCTATGTATAATATCAATGCAAAAAGCCTGTCATCGTGTCAATCACACACTGATCACACCGTGCTTGTGTTTAGACTGGGCCTGACTGTAGCAGGAGCTCAAATGGAGGACAGAAAGTGATTTTAGGTCGTGGCTGAGGCAGAAGACTAGAGATCCTCAGGGTTGCACAACAGGCATGGCACCAGCAACAACAGACACTTGCCTACATTAGTGAAAAAAAATAGCATTTTCTGCTTGTTTTTGGAAAACAGCAACTTAGAAGGTATCTTAGTCTATATTATTTTTATTATGACTTTGCGCTAAAAATAATAGATGAAAATGGATTTCACCATCAACATCAGAAAGACAAAAAGCAAGGTTTCTGATTTCTCAAGGCTCTGCATAGCATGGAAAGAGGGATGACTGTCTAAAATAATATGGCACAGTTGATTATTACCTTGATTAACAGGTAAAAAGGCAATAAAAGGACTGAAATTCATTAAACAGAAATATTTACAATCCAAAAGGCTGCTACTACCTCTGATACAGTGCTTTCTAACTGCATATAATTGATCTTACTGTGAACCATTCATCCATGCATATTTTTCTTTGGTAACACTTCATTTTAAGGTGACCTTGTTACACGTTACTTGTACTTACGATTATAATAACAATAAATTATGCATAATTACATGCAAGTAACCCTAAACCAAACCCTAATCTTAATCCTAACCATATAGTGAGTACATGTAGTTAATTAATATTACTCAATACTTAAATGTATGATTACTCTGTAACAAGGACACCTTAAAATAAAGTGTAACCTTTTATTTTTTTTTTATTATATTTGACATTGTACATTTTTATTACAATTTAGTTTGTTTAAACCCTGCCCATTTCTTACAATCGGCTGCAATAACCTATGGATAGGTGTACAGTTTTTTTTTTTCTTTACTTAGATGTCTAGAAACAAATTGGTATAGAAACCATTTTAATTTTCACAATTTTCAGAAATTGCTATAATTTTTACAATGAATTGCAAAGAAAGAATAACACATTGAAACAAAACATGAAATTAGGAGGAAAACTGAAATAGAATTGTCTTGTAAAACATACTCCAATAATCTTACAACGTCGAAAATTTGTTTTTTTTACAGTACAATTTAGTTTGTTTAAACCCTGCCCATTTCTTACAATCGGCGGCGGTGTACAGTTTTTTTTTTTCTTTACTTAGATGTCTAGAAACAAATTGGTATAGAAACCATTTTAATTTTCACAATTTTCAGAAATTGCTATAATTTTTACAATGAATTGCAAAGAAAGAATAACACATTGAAACAAAACATGAAATTAGGAGGAAAACTGAAATAGAATTGTCTTGTAAAACATACTCCAATAATCTTACAACGTCGAAAATTTGTTTTTTTTACAGTATATGTCACGATATAGAAGAAATGACATTCTGTTACATTGCAGACTTAAAGAAAGAAGGATAGACACATAAAACCAAAAAAGACAAAAGATTTTTTTTTCCCTGAAGCATTGTGTTTTATTAATCTCCTCTCCTCCACTCACTCATGTCTCATTACATTTACATTTAGTCATTTTGCAGATGCTTTTATCCAAAGCGATTGGGGAATACATAAAGCGATTCTTCTTAAAGAGGCAAACAGACACAGGAAGTGCTTGTAATACCAAGTTTTAGGCATTGTTCAAATAAGTACAAGCTAGAAAGGGAAGGAATAAATAAAGAGAAAGACAAAGTTTTTTTTAGTTTTTTTTATTTAAGATGAAGTCAAGTAGCGT